TCCGTGGGGGAAGGTGTGATGGAGAAGTGGGGGGACGGGAGGGGGGAGTTGTCCCTGCCCCGGTAAGGGGGAGTGTCTCGGTACGATATAGTAGGCGATCCGCCCGGCGCTGCCCCCGTTGTGTTCGGCCGTTCGGCCGGTAACCGCCGGGTCTCCGCCGCCGCCTCCCCCCGGGCTGAGCCATGCTGCCGGGCCTCCCCAGGTCGGGATGGAAGAGGCCGGTAGACGGCACGGTCGGTACCGAACGGGGTGTCCCTGTCCCCCTCCCCACAACCCCGCCGAGCTTAGGGCTGCCCCCCTCCATTGACAGCCCTCCTCGGCTTCTTCTCGTTCCTGTGAGCTGCTGGTGCCTCAGCGGTGCCCGAGCAGTGTGGGGTAGTTTCAGTACCATCGCAGTGTTACTTCCCTAGCAAAATATTTATGTTTAATTTTATGTCCCTGAAGGCTGTATAAGTATTTCCGAGTTAGTCTTTGCGTATGGTGTCCCACGAGTAGCTTGGAAAGCTTCCGTATTTTGCTAGGAATGGCTTTGAGTATAGAAGTTTTTATTTTTATTTTTATTTTCCTCATTGCTGTGTCTAATTTCTGCATTTATTTTTCGCAGTATGGCTGGGATCATTCGGTTCACAAAAGGAAGAGGCTCCCCCCAGTGAAGAGGTCTCTGGTGTACTACCTGAAAGGTAGAGAGGTCAGGATGCAGAATGAGTCCAGCTATCACCACTTGTTGCACGGATACGCAGCCCAGCAGCTTCCTAGCCTCCTAAAGGAGAGAGAATTTCACCTCGGAACCCTTAATAAAGTGTTTGCTTCCCAGTGGCTGAACCACCGGCAGGTGGTGTGTGGGACAAAGTGCAACACGGTAAGTGCCACCTACCTGTTTCCTTTCCCTCTGTGCATTACTCCACTGCCAAATGACGCTTGCTGTAATCCAAGTGTGTAGACTGCCAAGGAAAATATCAGGAAGTAATTAAGACCGGAGTCAAAATCGCACACAGTTAGTTTTGAGTGCAGGTAATGCTTAACGATGGCCCCTTCTCATCTGAAAAGGTGCTGTGCAGATGGCTGCCAACCTGGACTCCAGACCTGTACCTGGATGCAGCATCTGTCTAATCTGCACAGAGCACTTTACATCTCTTTGGGGGGTGAAGAGCAACAATGGGGCTGGATCTTTCTTCTTGTCCTGCAAGTGGTAGTTAATGAAGTTAAATGGTCGCTAATGTGTCCAGCAGAAGTTGGTAGTAAGACTCTCTTCAGCTCGCTCAGTCTTACAGGGTTTGGTTTTTATGTATGGTTCCGTGCTGATGATTTTCAAAAGTTGCTAAAAACTGTGGTCAAACTCCAGATAGTCATCCAAATAGCTAGAAGTATTCTAAGCTTAAAAAATGTATTTCAGATCTTCAGGATTATCTTTTACTTGTTTGCTTTGTGATTTTTCACTCTAAATCTGTTTTCAGTGTTCAGACAAATTATCTTGTTCATGTACCTGTATACGCTTCAGCAAAAACTGAAACCTCTTCAGACTCTTAAAGTGATGCTTTGGATTCGAAACGTTAGAGGGGAATGTTAAAATTATGCCCTATGTGACTTAGAAATGCAGAAGAACATACTTTTTAGGTAATATTCTCTCTGATGGAGTTAGCAGCCCGATTTCACACATGAAATTGCAACCTCAGCCAATGAAGTTCTGATTGAATTAGTGCAAAATCCCAGATTTGTTCTCGGCAAGTTGGTTAGTGCCACAGAAATGGATCGAGTGTTGTAAGGAATGTATGGATCAAGCAGCTCTCAAACCTCAAAGTATATCAAAGTTGGTGCGATTGTTTCTTCGTCTCAAGATTTCTTTGCAAGGGACAGTGGTATTTTTTTTTAATTTCAGATGTTCTGTTGTTACTCGTAGTTACACGGCGGGAGGCTTTCATGCGGTAGCTCTCTAGAAGCGAGACCTAGCTGTGTAAACAAAACAATCTTTTAGCAGGAATAAGCCTGAAATAGAATCCCTCACCCTTTCTCCATGTGTGTTAATCATCTCGGCCGGTTGGCAGCCACCGCTGTTTGTGGCACAGCTTACAGGAGCCAAACTCCTGCTGAAGCTCAAGCTCTCAAAAATCATGCTTACTCTAGCAAGATGACTGCATGTTTTATAGAGCTGCAACAGTTCTGCTGTGTTCTGTAACTAGTGAGGTTCCAGTGCTACTGCAGCCAAGATAAATGGGCAAGTGCGTTGTTAACACAACCTTGCGGAAAATTGTTTGGGACCAAATAATGATGGAACTGAAGAGGGATTCAACCATATTGCTGTTCCCACTGCATCCACTGCAGTGAAGTGTGTGTTTCCACAGCTAGACTTAACGTTACAGATGGACCTCGTCTTTTATTAGGCAAAGTACAGTCATTACCAAAGAAGTCACTTCAGCATTGTGAAAGGTAGTATATGAATTATGAATACTGTAATAGCTTTAGCTTGGTTGCTTTGTGCTCACATTTCAACAAGTAGAGTGTTAAACTCTAAACTCTAATTATGAGATATTTTTTTTTCTCATCTCCTGAGTAAGCAACCTAATAATGAAGAATCCTTTTGCGATTCTCATGTGCTGAAGTTGAGGCGTTGAAGTTGGGAGTGAATCTAAACCAACCTGGCTGACTTCAATGGTGTTTACTGCATTGGAGTTGCACATAATTAAAGTTAATGCAACAGAAAAATATAAACCATAGCAGTTGTTTTAATCAAAGCTTGAATGTGGCACTGAGAGCTTTTAGCATTTAATTTATAAATTGCCCTTGGCTATGCTGTGCCAGAAGGATTCACTATTTTTAATAACAAAACAAAAATACGCTCCTGTCATAGAGGAGTAGGTTTGGGTTTAGTCACTTGACAGTACTAGTCACTATAAGCACTGGACAGAATATGGAGTTCTCTGTCAATTGCTCATTTTTAATGAGAATTACAATGTGTTTAATTATTTGGGGTAACTTTTTATCCTTAAAATTATCCCTGGCTGTGACTGTGTGTGTGAAATAACTTCATTATTCTCCAGTGGATCCTGGTGCTCACAGTTGGCAAGCTGTAAGTCAAATACTTGGGTTTCTTGGAGGTGCATGTTTTTCCTGATAGATTTAGATTATGGAACCTGTACAAGCATTCGAGTGTATCTTGTATGCAGTGGACTCCTTAATGTTTTTCAAGTTCAAATGAATGAGCAGGCAAAATCTCTGAGAGGTGCAGACATTAAGGGTGTGTCACCACAGCATCAAAATTACCAACTGATACCGTGAAGTCTCAGAAGATGATACTGTCTGTAATCAGTGTCTTCTGTTCAGGCTCCTTAGACAAACTTTGAGATTTACGTAGGAGACAAGCTTATGGCAACATGAGTGCTGTAATTTTATTCTTTTTTTTTTTTTTTTACTGTAACTGGAAACAACTGTTTAGAGATAATAGTTATCTACCTTAAATAAGTAAGTTTTAATTAGAATAAATTACTTAGGTTTATAATACGGTGTGATTTATGCTGTTTGTCTAGCTTTACTTAGCATGAGTACTCAGCTACGTTTGCTGAAGCCTTTAGGCTGCAGCACAGTTAATTCTCTTAGCAGTGCTGTGTTTAGCCTTTTAGTATAAGAAAAACGTCGATAACACCCTGATGTTTTAGTGGTGTTTTCCCTCAGTCTGGGACTTTTCAGTTCCCCGTGTTCTGCCAGCGAGCGCAGATGTACAAGGAATGTAAACCAGAAGATAAGGAGGCGAGAACCCTCAGCAGAGACTGCACATCAACAAGATAGGAGAAGAAAAAACAACAATCCAATAAAAGACCCCAGACCAAAAATCACCATTAGACACTCAGGCAGTGGCTTCTCCTTTAACAAGGATGAACAGCAAAGCAGCTTCTAAAAAGAAGTTCCAGCAATCGTTTTGCAGCTTCTTTTGTTCCCCTAGTTCTGTGTAAGTGTTCGGGACATAATTCTTTTGCTAGTTGTGAAGTTAAGGATGAAAAAAGACAAGAGCTGTAGATCATTCCCTAAATACAAAAAACTTACTAGTTTCTAATTGCTTGAGAATATAATTGCCTAGAAGCTAATATTTTTGTTTGCTTTTTTTTTTTCCACACCTCGGGCAGGCCTGATAGATGCATTTGTGTTTAAAACCTTACAGATGCCTCTCTTCTGTTTTCTCAGGTGGCTTTTCCAAGGCAGGAATGGGTTGGTTTTGGAATGCTAGCTGATACCTTTTCTGCCCCGCTGTAAATCACTGGCTCTTGTTTCTTCTTAGAGAGTTTTAATTTGTTCGAGAGATCCCATGTCTGTTCTGTGCATCTCAAACAATTATAACCTAGTCTTGTAGTCCTGGGTAGGAATACAAGGCACAGTTACTCTTCCATCCCTGAATGTGGACTTTTTATGGGGTAACTGATTTCCCCTTGCTTTGCAATTTAGCATTTCGTCTGGCTTTGCACATGTAATGAAAAATCAGAAACACCGCTCATTTCTGATCACAAGGAAGGAATGAGAAATCATTCTCCTGCAGTTTGTTACTCTATTTAAAGTCCACTGAACACTGACCAAAACTCAGTGTTTTGGTGCCTAACTGATGCCTGTTACTGGCACTTGTGTTCACCTTTTTTCAGTGGTTTGTGTGTAAATAGCTGTCCTGGTTTGAGGTAGAACAGAATTAATTTTCTTTTCAGAAGTGATTTTACTTTTCAGATAAGCCTCTTCTAACTAACTGCGGTTTCTGAAACTAATGATGTATTTTGTCAGACAGTGTCCTCTTTCAGAGTGATAACATCTGATGTTTATAACTAACACCAAAGAACGGTATGCAGAGAGGCTGTTGCTTATACTTATTGCTGTAACAGCCAAGGGCAACTCACTTCATTAGGTAACAACTTGGAGGGCTGGAAGCAGAAGAGCACAGAGGGGTCACACCTGTGGGGGGGAGTGGGCAGGACAGGTGACCCCAAACCGACCAACAGGGTATTCCCCAACACATAAGACCAGGAATAAAGTCATCCAGGCTGTTCTTCTGTGTTTAATATGAAAAAAGCAAAATGAAATTTGTCTCCTACTTCTTAGTTTTTAATGAAAATACGCAAGAGAGAAGCTGCTCACACGTGATGTCAAATTGCCCAAAGTTTTATTGCACTTAATTTAGCACTTATTTTCTTTCCAGCATTAATGGGGGAGAACCACCCACTGGCTTCTTCTAAAACCCACAGTCACCGTTCCAGCCTCCCCATCTTTACCTTCTTCTGCAAGTCTGGATTGACTTAAATTGTTGTTTGGCTGCTACACGTTTCTGCCTCCGGTAGGAGGTTCTTCCTCTCCTCCACCGTTTCTTTCCAAGCCAGACTAGCTTCCTATTGATAGACCAGTTTGAAATTCCTCTTCACAGAAATTAATTCACTTACTTTCTTAAAGCTTACATTCCCTTCTAAATACAATTTTGTATTCTGCTGGGTTATTTGTTACTGTGCTGTACTAACCTAAGAGCCAGGTTTATGCACTGTGCAACGCAGTATTGAATGCCTAAGCAGAAGGTATGTTTGTTTTTAAACATTCCACGAAGACACTAGTCACCTTCTCTTCCAGGAAGGGAGAGAGAGAGGTTAAAGAGAACATCTCTCTAGTTTAGTGGCCAGCCCAGCCCAAATCACGACAATAGCCAGGTGTTGTGTCTTGCCTCAAGAGTATTTCTGTCAACTGCATGTGATACCCATGTCTGCCTTCAGGGTCTGGTAGTTTTTGTGCCAGGTATGGTGTGGGTGGTGGAGATGACCTTTTGCAGGCGAAGTCTCTCACTTCTCCATCCTTTGCCATCTGTCGACATGTGTTAACTCTCTGCCAGCCTCCTGAAATTAAACA